CAAGAAAACGGAGAAAATGAAACGAACTTCATTTGAATATGCAAGGCCCAAGGGTCTACCGAACTTGTTGGGCAATGGAACAGCGGAAAACATTTGTCTCGCGAAGGCCTTCGAGATCTGTGTATTGTATTTGCCTAATGTTTGCACAAGCATTAGCATATGAAAACATTCCTGCCTGAAGGCAGATCTGCCTCTATCTTATTTCTTCATGCAGCAGGAGATGAGAAACGATCTCGGACGTGCGGTGTTGGGATCGGAACAAAAAGGAAGGCCATTATTTGTCGTGAGCTGCGACATTTTGTCATCTCTTGGTGCGCTTGCTACTACAAATGAGAAAACAATATGATGATTTAATGTTACGACAAAACTCAACAAAATGAGGAAGTCTAGCGATGCTATGAGCAATTAAAAGGCGCAGTGGAAAAATGTTTTATGCACATGCGATTGCTGAAGGTGACTTCAACGCATTCGTTGAGCAGAGAAAGAGTGACAGCTATTTATCGAAAAATACGAAAAAGAAGCAAGAAAAAGACGTGGAAATCGCGTCGTAGCTTTCGCTGAAAGTAACCTCCTGCATGTCATGCACAGCGTTTACCAGAAAGCGACAGTCTACATGGAGAAGTCGTGACGAATAATCAGATCAGCTATGTGCTGACAGGCAAGAAGCAGTATCAGAAGTGCCGAGCATAGGCGAGAACATCATATCAGTGCGCAGATTTGATCACAGGTTGCTACGTTCCATACTTACAATCGATAAACTGGTTGATGACACTATATATTAAAAGGTTCGATTATCCGCACATTTCTTGTGGTTTGCCATAGAATCACAAACGTGCTAACGTCTGACCATCAGTAGTGCCGTGTTAATATCAATATATTAATATCAAGGAATCTTCAATATATTTTGAAACTAGAAGAAAAGTATCATCTACCTTTTTGTTGACGCAGACACTTGGGTGCGTTTTTCTCTTCCTGGCTTGAATCTTCAGTAGCGTAACGTTTCAGTGGTTGCCATCCAACTAAACACACTTTAAAGCAAACTGCTTCATAGCACTGGCATCTAATTTTTCTAATCGAGAAGAATATCTTATTTTGAAGTTTAAACATCAAGTTATCAGTTCATGAATGAGTTTTCTGTCAGATAAATATTTAGACAGAATCAGCGCTGTCTAAACTCATATCTGTTTGAACTCCGTCAGTAGTGAATCTGTAATTTTCCGTTCAGTCAGAATACGCAATTGCTTGTGGCATAAACGCCTGAATCGAGCAATCAGTGTAACCATTTGGTTTTCGAAGCAGTATTCCGAGATCGATGATTATTGAACAACGAAAGGTTGTTAATGATTATTGAGCTACGTTTTTGATAAAACTGGAACGATGAAATAACTACATAAAGTTATAGATGATGCATATAAACAGTTTAAACTTGTGTACAACCAGCGCTGTTTAATATAAATAAACATTAGTTACAATGATAAACGGTTAAATGACGCTTTTGCCGGCGAATCAGACTTTTTTCGAGACAGTTATATCCAGCAATGTGACATCCAGTCCAAACTGTCAAATTGTTTAAGCACTTTTGTGGCTCCAACTCCTTCGTCAGCTCATCTGCCATCCATTGAACGCAACATAGTGTACCTCTGTGTGTGCTGATTCTTGCGTTACACTTAAATGACATGATTCTGTACATGTTCTTCATTTGACATTTCTTTTTTAGTTTAGTTTCCGTCATTATTCCTTGTTGGACTAACTTTACTTACTAATTTAAGTTAACTTTTATTTCTTGTTTTGCGCACCATAAGCATTTTCATGTTAATTAACTAATTACTATGTTGTATACATGTCACTGTACACAGTTTTAAAAAAATTTTTAGTCAGATTCGTCTGTTTTTCATAACGTACTTAAAGTTTCTAAAATTTTACCGTTTAAATCGAATCACAGAACGAACCAAAGTTTTAAGAACATATTAAGAAGTATTTGCAAGCCCAGTGCATTACTATTAAGAAGAAGAATCAGCTAGCGTCAGGAAAACTGTTAAACGGATCATTATGTGAAATAAACTCGCTGTTTATATCGAAAGCGAAGCAAAGGAATATATGCAAAAGCTGTCATACTTCCCCGCGGAGACAATTTTGCTTTTTTTTCTTCCAGTAGTTTCATTATCTGCAAATGTGCATGAGTATATCGACAGTCTGAGGTAAACGAATAATCACCAACTCTTTCTCTGCACTCTTGCCTAAATCGTACTTCAGTTCTGCGAAATCGGGATCCGCCAATATTTTGTTCTCACTCATGATTTTTAGCTTCAGTAGCTGCAGTTTCAATTTTTCAATCTAAAGCACGGCGTCAACATTTTAGCAGTAGTCGATAAACAATTATACTTGCTCTTGCAAATTTGCGACGTTTCTCTCGGCATCAAGTCTCCATAAGTCGACCTCTTCTGGTTTGGCCAAAGGCGCTGTCAAAAGCAAAACATATCAGTCACTCTTGCATGAGTTAGGTATTTTTCTTAAGTAATAAAAATCGGAGGTACGAGGAATAAATTTATTGATTTTAACACGATGAATAAAAAGCGACATGTTTAAGGCGTGACGGGAAACACGAATTCTCCCTCTTTCAACATCTCCGATGGTTGCTATGCACAGATGATTGTTTCTGATAATTCTCGATAACTGGTACTTTGCAGAAAATGAATGTCACGCTGCCTTACGCTGGCTGATCTAGTAAATATAACTGACCACATTTATGGTTTCTCAATTTGCGCAGTATTCGCCAATCATTATAGACAAAATTCAACTGATTTTCTGGGCAGCTGCCTCATTGTGTGTTTCCAGTGTCGCCGTTGATCACAATCTCCATTTCTAATACCGAATTTCCTTGGTGCCAGCGCACCATCCCCTCACATGTAGTCGACTATAGAGTCCATTTAAGCAAACCATGGATCCGTGGTGTTTGAAAATCTTCAGTGCATTAAATGCATGATCGCATCCCTCAGTAGCTGTAAAACGGCACGTACGTGCACCAACTACTAGTGCAACTAATCGTAGACAAATGTATAGAAAAATGATGACTTCAGTATTCAGTCCAATTCAGTAATGTGTTCTTGCTTCCAATACACTGCAAATGCTCAAATACCATAGAGCCGTGGCCATCTTAAATGATCCAGTACGCGATTAGAGGTCACATGGAATGCACCTACTCCGAGTAAATTTGGTATCAGGATGAAATTCGCACTATCATTTGAACAAGTTCAATCAGTAGTGACTGGTTAAGGTTGATCAGCGATTTTTGCAAAAAGGCGGGGAAACTTGCAAACTCCACAAGACGTGCTTAACAACGTTGCTTTCTCGTGCATTTTACCATTGTTGCTATCTTGCCTGGGCTGATAAATTTGTGGCGATTCATTTATCCCTTACACTGAAGAATTTTCTAAATCGAGCAGGCTTTCGGATGGGGTACTTCTGCCCGATCAAGTTTTAAAGGCTACACTTGCATCGCGACAACGTCAGACGATATGTGAAAACTGTTGAAATGCTGTGGAATATCAGAGCGCATAGCGTCTCCGTTTTGGCAGAAATGTATGCAGAATCCACGTCTGCTGTCAAAGTTGAAGGGCAGCTATCTGAATCATTACCTATTAACTATGGAGTTCGCCACGGAGGAGTGCTTTCGACTCTCCTGTCCAAAACTGTTCTCGA